CTCCTGCTTTATCTTTCCTGGGGTGTGCTCGACCATGATATTTTGGGGGCTTGGTCCATGGCAAAAGTCCTGAGGAGGCCATCAGCATGTGTTGACCAAGGCTCCTGGAGGCCAGTGGCAGAGCAGGAGAGCAAGGGGGCATCATAAAACCTATTTTGACCACCATGGCCCCCTCTTCCTGGGGATGAGGCCACTGAGACAGCTTGGCAAAAGCTGCTCTTTGGGATAATGGAGTCGTGGCAGAGCTGTCTGGGCTCACGGTCCTGCTCCCTACCTTGTGTCTGAAATGGACTTCCTAAAAACCACTGGACTCATCTTCATGGCACTTGCAGTTTAAACTCAAACCCTAACACATAGCCATTTAAAAACCAGATAGCTAAGGCAGATTCAACATCCACCATGGGGAAAGAATGCCACTGGGACAGCCTCCAGGCAAAGGGGGCTGCCCCCTTTCTCCTCTCTGACTTGGTTTCTGGTTGGGAAATTCATCTCCTTTCTGAACACTTGGATGTCTGTTCAGGTGCTGGCCCTCACCTGAATGCCTACCTGTACCCCTGCAGTTCTCACTTGCTAGAGCTGAGCATCATCAGCTGTGGTCTCTGTTTATGACACAAGATAATGTTCCATTGTCACTCCAATTTGCCTGTTTATGTTTGCTGGCTAGAGGAAAATGAAGATCAAGTATAAGGTTGGTTTAATAACAAGCTGTCAATCAAACTTTTCAGTGACCCCTCCCTCCATCTCAGAGGAAAACCAAAGTCCTGTCCATGACCTGCAAGGACCTGCATCCCCAGCTCTTCCTCTGATCCCCCTTCTTCTGTGACCCCCTATTCCCCAGCTCTAGCTACATCAGCTTTCTGGAATGCTCAGTGACCTCAGGGCCTTTGCCTGTGCTCTTCCTGCTGGCACTCTAACTCTCTCCATCAGGTCCATACTCGAATAGCGCCCTAACTGCCATATTGCCAGATTTCTTGCTCAGGCCTCCTCTCCTCTTTTCTGCCCTTGATCTCTCCACAGCTCTGCTCGTGATTCATTTTTTATTTCTACCCACTAGAAGTTAAGCTCAAAGGGACAGGCACTTCTTGGACGTCATGCTAACAGTACTGGGAAGGGGTGGTGTTCAGCAGGCAGGTCTTGACAGAATGCACCAATGAACAGAGGGAGGTGGGAGAAGTTGCTTCCATCTGGCCTTATGTGGTGTGGAGCTCCCATCAAAGCTGCCAGTATTCATATGCTGACTACACCCAAGACTCATGTTCTCTTGTAGGATTTCAGAAGTGCCCGAGATTGTGCATGTGGTGTGTGTACATGCATGTGTGCACATAATCCTGGATGTGTTGCCTAAAAGGATACACAGAGGCAAGAGAAAACTGGAACTTTTTATGTGGCCAGTTCCCTAAGCCTCTTACCATTTGTCTTTGTCTCCTTGTCATGCACACAGGACTGGGCAACATGTGTACTCTCACTCTTTCACCTGTGCTGTCTTCTCACATCCTGTTTCCTCTGCACTTCTTTTCAACTGCTCTGTCAGAGAGGTGTCAGCAGCTTTCTACATATCTGCTGTGCCAGGGTCCACTGAGGGCAGGACTGGGCAGGATTGGGGGACTAGAGCCTCTGGACAGTGAGGGGTACTTTGCTCATGACCATCCCAAATCCTGCTACCCCTTCCACCATCATCATCAGTTCCCTTGACAGTAGTGCCTGTGAACTTCCAGTTACAAATCAACAGTAAATTTAGTGGGTCATGACCAGCATTAAAAAAAACAAAGGAAGCCAGGTGTGTTGGTTCATATCTATAATCCTAGCTAGGGAGGCAGGGGTCGGAGGATCAAGGTTGGAAGCCAGTCCCAGCAAAAATTTGCAAGACTCCATCTCAATCAATAAAATCTGGGCATGGTGGCACATGTCTTTCACCCCAGCTACTCAAGAGGCATAAATAGCTTGGCCTGTTCGAGACCCTATTTGAAGAAAAATGAAAGCATAAAATACTGGGGGAGTGGCTCAAGTGGTAAAGTGCCTGGCTGACAAGTGTAAGACCCTGAGTTCAAAACCCCAGTACATTAAATAAATAAATAAATAATAAAATAAATCCAGGCACCATGGCTCATGTCTATAATACCAGCGCTTGAGAAGCTGAGGCAGGAGGATCTTGAATTCAAGGCCAACCTATGCTACATAGTGAGACCCTGTATAATAAATACATGTAAAAGATTAGAATCCATCACATGTTTGGGATTAAGTATTGTCACTGATGTGTTTAGAAGCCACTTGCTACAACAAGTACTGTGATTTTGTCACGCGTCCCTCTGGTGTGATGTTTTAGTGAGAGGGACGTTGTCAGCTCATTTCAGCCCACGTTAGACCAACAGGGGCAGGTGGTTTCTATATGGGGAGCTGTCACTTGAGGCACTGGTCGTCATATTCAGGGCGGGCCTGAAGCCCCTAACACTATATAACAAATACTTTTTCCTCTTCCCTGAAAAACAAAACAATTGGCTGTCTGGGCTGCTGCATTTAGGTGAGTCACTCTAATATCTGCATGCACTTCTCCCCAAAACACAGCAAACGGAACCTGTCATGCTACATAAATCCCTGCTAGAAATTTCTTTGTCCGGAGACCAGTCAGCGTGTTGTTCCTGGTTGCCATAGGGAACAGCGAGCTCTGCCTTTGAAATGCCCCAAGGGGAGCGTTGTGATTGGCTCTTCTTGCCGCCCATCACTGCTGCCAAGCAGCGAGAGCTGCAGCGGCCAGAACGCCCGCCCCCAAACGGGTGGCCCTGTTTGGGGCAAACTTCTTTGTGCTGTCCCCCTCCAACCCCCCGCTAAAGGAGAGGTTTCGGAACTGCTCAATTAGAGAAGAAAAAGAGGAGTTGGGGAGGTGGGGGGGGGGAGAGAGAGAGAGAGAGAGAGAGAGAGAGAGAGAGAGAGAGAGAGAGAGAGAAAAGAGAAGAGAAGAGAGAGAGAGAGAGAGAACAGAGGGGGTCTCACCAGCAGAGGGCTCAACTCCAGTGCATCAAACCTTAATCTGAACGTGGCTCACTAGTGCTTTGGCAGAGAATAAAAAGAGCCAAGGAACCATAGAAAATCTCGCCGATGGGTGTTTGAACCTGCTGCCCTGTGGCTTACTTTTAAATAACCCAAAACAGTCCAGCCCAGAGAAGCGAGTCTTTCCTGATTTTGGTAGTTCCCTTGTGTCTGTGTGTGTGTGTGTCTGTGTGTGTGTGTGTGTGTGTGTGTGTGTGTGTGTATATATATATAGTGTAAGGTAAGGCGGCAGGTGGGAGTAGACACCTGGTCCCATGGCGTGCCAGCACAGCAGCTTGAGCAGGGCTGGGGACCTGGGAGGAGCGGGCAAATAGCAGAGGCCTTGGAGGCCGGCGATGGAAGAGACTGGGACCCAGAGTTGAGACTCTGAGTCTTGTGACGTCAAGGTCATTACAACTTCCAACACAGAGCAAGAGACACCCACGAGGGGAAAGGAGAGCCCGTCTGAGGTCTAGGGCTCAATCACAGCCCAAAAGTCCACGTGACTGGGATGGAGGAGGCTGACCTGTCACCCTACCATGTCTTCTGTCTGAACTAAAAGAGCTGTGTCCTGTGACCCAGAAAGGGGCACCACTGGTCTGCTTGAGCCTAATTAGCAAGGCCCTTCTGCCAGTGGCTGCAGAACAGGCACCTGTTGGGCTAATAATACGGGCAGAGATGAGAGGTCAGACTATTTGGGGTTCTGGAAAATTCTACGGAGGAAGAGGCCCGGGAGATGCTGGACTTCCTGCCTCCTCCACTCACATGAGTCACTGGAGAAACACAAGGTTGGCTTAAGCTGGCCACACTTAAGGCCTAGGAATCCTTACGAGCCTAGGAATCCTCATAGAAAGTGCATTCTGTCTTCTCAGCTGACTTGTACCTTGATGGCCTTGCTCCTCAGTGGCCTGGAGCCAGGAGGGGACAGGCCCTCATCCGCTGGGTGGGCAGGGCTGGGGGACGTTGTTGGAGAGAAGCATTGGTGGATCCTTGATAATTGAGGGTAGGAAGCCTGGAGAAATGAATGCTCCTGGCCCAGAGGAGAGGGGTGCCCAGGTCGGCTAGGAGCTCTGGGGGCTTGGTGACGAACTGGCTACTCTGTCCACACTGGACCAGATCCAGCTTCCTGGGTGTGGGGGATCCAGGGAGGAACTCCAGCCAAACCTTAGGACCCTACCCCCCCCCGTGAGAACAGGGCCAAGGTGGCACCCCCGCGACCCCACCTGTGCGTGTGGGGGACATGCGTGTCGGTGGGTGTGTCTAGAGGACAAGTATGTGTGAAGACAGTGTGTTGGTGTGGGATCTGCGTGCCTGGGAGCACATCTGCGTGTCCGTGTACTGTCGTGCGTGTGCAGAGAGCATGCGACACTAGGAGTGTCCACTGCACGTGGGTTTGTGGGTGCCCATGAGCATTGTATCTGTCTACCATTACGGGTGGGCGTGTGACCGAGTGTAAGGGGGCCGCTGCCTGGTGAGCTGGCGGGCACAGGGAACTCGCCCCTCTGGGCCCCACGCGACCTGCGTGGTTTTTTTTTTTTTTTTGACGGGGAAAGGCGGGGACGCGTACAGGGGCGGGGCAGCGCGGAGCCCGGGCCGGCGGGGGCGCGGCGGGCAGGGAGAGGAGCTGGGCCCCGGGCGGGAGGGGGGGAGTGGCGGGGGAGGGAGGGGAAGAGGGAGGGGGGGTAAGAAGTGGGAGGGCCCTCCCGCGCTGTCGTTGCTAAGGCCGGCGGCGAGCGCGGAGCCGAAGGCCCTTAGCAACGGGCTACGGGCGGGCGCGCGTGCGTGCGGACGCGCGCGGGGGGGGGGGGGGGTTGGCGGGGTGGCGCGGGGGCCGGGTGCTCGCAGCTCTGCCGTCCCACGCGCGCGAGCCGCGGCGGCGGCGGCGGCGGCGGCGGCGGCGGGGGCGGGGCGGCGGGAGGGCGCGCCGGGGCGCGCGCCGGCTGCCGGCGGGGATTTCCAGCGCGCGAGAGGAAGTGCCAGCGCGAGGGTGCGTGAGGCGGCGCGGCGGCCGCCGCGTGCGCGAGCCGGGTTGCAGCCCAGCAGGGACTTTCCAGCCGGCGGCGGCGGCGGCGGCGGCGGCCGCCGGCCCTTCCCCGCCCCCCGACATGGGGCTGCCCGGGGAGCAGGACGCTGCGGACGGCGGCGGAGGACGCGTCCGGCGCCCGTGAGCCGGCCGAGCGGGTGGACCGCGGGGTAAGGGCCGCGCGGGCGGCGGGCGGGCGGACGGACGGGAGGGACGCGGCGAGGGATGCGGCGGGCGGGCCCAGGCGGCCCGGCTCCTTCTCGGCGCCGCTCCCGCGCCCTCGGCGGCGGCGACCCGGCTCGGCGCGGCGCAGGCCCAGCCCGCCCGCCCGCCGCCTCGCCCTGTGCCCAGCCCGGCCCGCCCGCCCAGATGCTTCAACTTTGGAAACTTTGTCCCCGAGGCCGCTCCGGGCCCGAGGGGCCGGGGTGTCGCAGCTGTGCAGGAAACGGGGCGCCGAGGCCTCCTTTCTCGAGTGCCCGCCCCTGGGGGCGCGGAGAAGTCGGCCTCTGCCGCAGGGCCCGGCTCTCTTGAGGGGTGAGGAACGGCAGAGTCAGGGCGTCCGCATAGACGAGCGCGCTCGTTTGCTGGCGGAGGTGGGTTTTTAGCCATTATTGAAAAGTTTATCCTGAGTCATCCGTCTGCAGAGGAATGGCTGATTCAGCACTGAGGACGCCGGGGGGCTGGGGCGGAGGCACCCCGCCACCCTCGGGCGCCCCTAAGGTCACGGTGGGCCGGAGGAGGCGGGTGCGCCCCGCTCCGCTCTGCCACGTCCCCGCGGCGCCCGCGTAGGGCTCGCCACGTTTCCCACTGTCACCCCGTCTGGGGACGCCGGCTGCGTGTGTATAGACCTTGGGAGAGAACCGTGCGCGGAAGATAAACCTTTACCTTTCATTCCATGAGGCCACAAAATGGAAATGAGCAAAGTGTGGTGGACGTGCTCCGAAATGTAAGGACGCCTTCAGATCGTGGTCGGTTAAGAAGCGAGTTCATTTCGTGTTGAGACTGAATCATCCGTGTCCAGATGAGCTCGGGGTGTGTGCGCGCGTGTGTGTCTGTGTGTGTGTCCTGTTATCCAGCCATTTATTTTTGTGGAGTCATAGAGGCTACATCGAAGAGCCTGGTAGCCTTCCTCATTTGCATTCACAGCACACAAGTGGAGAGGAGCCATTCTGTTCCTCCCCAGCATTTTGTGTGAATGCACTCCGGTGAAGCCTTTGGAAATACTCTTTCCTGTCATCTGTGTGTGTCTCTAAAGCCCTTCTTTGAAGAAATGGCCAGGCGATCCATCAGCGGGCTTAAAATCTTCTCCTGCCTTCCAGGTCTTGGAAAATGGCCTGTTGAAAAGACTGCATCATATGTAGGACGTCTGGCAAACTAGTGTACAACCATCCTTTATTCAAATGAGAGGAAATGGGTCTCTTTTCACCGTGTGGTGACATTTTAAATATTAAGAATTAGTCTAAAGGTGAAAATTCTTTGGCCAAAGCAAAAGTAAGCCTTATCAGTTTGAAAACTGGAAAATATCCTATGAGGTCGGAAATCCGTATGAGTAGGTGCTCATGATGGAAACCCTGACAGACCTTGGATTCCCGCATCACTGGTTAAGATCAGACCTTATCAAGGATAAGGTTTAAGATGTAAGGTGTCTCAGCCAGACGCCATCTGTTCCAGCTGTCACAATGCAGATGCCAAGAAAGCAGAGAGCTGGCCAGGGAGAATTCCAGCATTTAAAAAAAAGACATTCATGTGAATTTTTCTGTGAGAGAAAAGAAGACCAATTATTTTTCTTGGATGTAATCCATTCTTTTGGAGTTAATAAGATGGCCTCACTCAGTGAGAAGGCTGCAAAGACATTCCATTGGAAACAGGCAATAGTGGCCGATTGTTTCTGCTAATACCACCAAAATCTCCCTCCTCTTGGTGTTTTAAAGAAAGTCCTTCATTTAACTGAAATATCTGGGCTGCTTCTTCTTGTTTTCCCTTGAGTTTGGGTTTTTCTCTAAACACTTCTGCTAGAATAACTTAAATTTCTCAGACTTTCTGAGCTTATTGTCAAAATAGATGTGCTAGTCAGCCAAAAGATGAGAATGATTTATCACTCCTTTACAGTCCTTTCTTCTGATGCTGAAGCTGTATTCAAGAAAGAAAACTGTCACTGTGGTGCTGCAAACCTGAACTAGCTCAAGCACACAAAGGAAAGCAATAAATATGTCCATCTCATTTTCTCATCTTGTATGGCAACTCTGATCTAACCTACCAGATATTATGCAATAGCTGAATTTCCTCTCAGTGGTCAATTCCAGAACTATTAACAGGGGAGTCTCATGACTAAGACCCTCAGTGTTGATTCTCAGGACCCTTATGTGCTTTTTTGCAGTATGAGGGTTTGAACTTAGGGCCTTGTGCTTGTTAAGCAGGTGCTCTACCACTTGACCCAATCACCCAGCCTTTTGCTTTAGGTTTTTTTTTGTTTTGTTTTTTGCTTTGCTAGTACTAGGGCTTGAACTCAGGGCCTACACCTTGAGCCACTCCACCAGTTTTTTTTTTTTTTTTTGGTGATAGGTTTTTTCGAGGTAGGGTCTCTGAACTATTTCCCTGGGCTGGCTTCAAACTGCGATCCTCCTGATCTCTGTCTCTTGAGTAGCTAGAATTACAGGTGCCCCAGCGCCTGGCCGTTATTTTTTGAATAAGAGCTCAAGTTTTTGCCCAGTTGGCCTGGACCTCAGTCTCCTGTTATGCCTCCTGTGTAGCTGGGATGACAGGTATGTACCATCATGCCCACCTTATTGGTTGAGATGGGGGTCTTAATAATTTTTTGCTCAGGCTGTCCTCAAACCAGCTTCCTCCTGATCTCTGCCTCCTGAGCAGCTGGTAGAATAGGTGTGCTCTTCTACACCTTGCTTTTTTATTTTTTTCTTTGGTGTGTGTGTCGCAATAACTGATTTCAGATACAGAGGGAAACTGGAAAGAGAGCTACAGTGAGAAAGAAGGTGAGACTAGGGAATTTGGAAGGTGACCAGAGAGAGGCAGCCAGGCCTGAATGTGGGGATAATGCTTGGCCTTGGGCAGGAGGAATAGAGCCAGAGAGTGGGAAGCCAAGAGTCCTGCGAACACAAGGGTGGTAGAGAGAGGTAGTTGAGGATTGGTGTGCTCCCAAAGGAGTCTACTAAAGACAAACATGTAATTCCTATTCACAACAAAAATACAAAATGCCCTTTTCATTCTGGAAAGCTTTATTAAGTTATGCACAACACTGTTACAGGAAAGAATGGAGGAAGACAGACCAACCTTGGAAGGAGAAGGTGTTATTCCTGTCATTTCGCATGAAACCTTTTTGTGGCAAAACTTGATGGTCCCTGCAGACAATTTGGGGTCAACTGGCAGGTAGTGGGATGTCACATATGCAGGTGACTGTTGGTTTCTGTGCCTTCCAGGAATTCTTACTGAATTCTGTGTTCCTTCAGATAAGCAGATAATTAACTAGGACTTTGGAGTCTTTTTCTCATTTAATTACTGTTCAATTAATGTGGCCTAAGTTCCCATAATATTCTGGTTACTATGCTAGGATGAGCGAGACATAGTACTTGTTTTTAAGGTGTGATCTGCAGAAATCTGGGGCATCTTGGCCCTGTGCACAGTGATGGGAGATGCCAGAACCCAACAAAGATCTGACTGAGACTAGGACAAGAGCTGGCGGCAAGAAGGGTGAAGAAAAATGAAAAGTGGTTATCCTGTCCTCAGGGAGCTGACTGGTTAGAGCTGAAGAGTAAAAACCCAGGAAGAACTGAGAAAGGCATAAAATGGAATGAATAGTGGTTCGTGTGGGTAACTGAAAGTACAGTGGGTATTCGCCATAAGAGAAGACAAAAGCTCTTGTCTGGCTAGGCTAGTTAGGGTGGACTTCTGGGAAGGGCATGGAGTTGAGCTCCAGTGTTAGGAGGCCTCTGGGCCTACTTTTAGGGCCCTGATAATGGCAATAAGGGTTTCTCCTCCCCATTTTGTTTTGATTAGATGAGATCTGACAATTTGCTGTCAATTTGTTCTTCTCCCATACATACGGAGCTGGCCTGTGGGTTGGCAGATGAGAAGTTTCAAGTGTTGTCTGGCTCTTGCCAGGCCCTTTTGTGACCAGGAGCCCAAGTGAGTTTGGTGGTCTGACTGTGAATGGTATGGTCTGTGGAGGGGAACAGAGCAGTGGACCCCAGCCTGGGTGGCAGCATACCGCTGCTCTCTTTGTAGGTAGAAAATCTCAAAAGGTGGCAGTGGTGAGAGGTGTGTAAATGTTAAATGTCCTTTTTCTCAAACCTACTGCTCTGTCTTCCTTGCTTATCTGACCTGAGTCTCTTTAACTCTCAAGAACAGAACATTGGGCCCAACATTTCATTTCATGATTTACGTTTTCTAGGATTTGTTCCATACTGATTTTAATAATTAAAAAAAATACATAAGCTGGGTGTGGTGGCTCATATTTGCTGTCCCAGCTACTTGGGAGGCAGAGATGGGGAGAATTGTGGTTTGAGGCCAGCCTGGGCAAAAAGTTAGTGAGACCTCCCCCATCTCAACAAAACTGAGTGTGGTGGTGCACACCTGTCAGCCCAGCTATGTGGGAGGATGTAGGTAGGAGGATTGCAGCCTGAGGCCAGCTGGGCAAAAGGTGAGACCTCTAAAAAAAAGGACTGGAGGTATACCTTAAGTGGTAGGATGCTTTCTTGAGGGCCTGAGTTCAAACCCTAGCACCATCTAACTTGAATGAATGAATGAATGAATGAATGTTATTTGGTAACCTCTCATGTGGCCATTCTACTGAGAAAGATGTGCTCTTGTGATATACTGATTTCCTTCCAGTTGAAACACTGCTTCTAAAGCAAAACCATACAAGCATATTTATTAGGATCGTGGTATCTTTAGCTGGAGAGAAAAGCTAAGTCGGTTAACCACGTAGGGTGATGTCGTAAGTGTTAAAGTGATGAAATGTGTCTCTGAGTCATGATAATTCTTTCCATTATTTAGAGAATATTAGTGTCTATTATCAAGCCCACATAGAAAAGACCTTACATGTTTAATATAGTGTGTTAACTCCATTCAAATGGAAAAAAAAATAAGTTTAACTTCTAGACTAATATGACTACTAATTTCTGTACAATGCAAGTTCATCATGGTAAATTAGAAT